GAAGTCGCGAGTCCTCCGATCCTGACCACTTCATGCTCACTCCTTCAAATTTTCCCCAAAATTTCGGAGAACCCCGTTTGGAACGACCCACTCTACTGCAACCACAACTCTCCAACCTCCGGAATTCGACCCCCTTCCTAACCTTTTTAACCTTGACGTCAATTTTTGAGAACTGAGCAACCCACAGCCGATCCTGCTTGCAAGACTCAAGGGAAAAGGTTCATAGCTCAACTTTTAGACGCACTCAAATAGGACAGAACTATTATTGAACTCTCGAGTCTTTCCAAATTAATAATCCTTTAGCAGCGCTTTACCGGCACACAGTTTGCTTTTCGATAACTAAGCGCCCAGGTCGTCCTTTGCCACCACACCCACATCCTCTGACATCCTCTGCGAGGGTTAGAGACGGGTACTCCCCCTCACCAAAATAGGGAGTGCGTCTTCCTTCACCAATTTTCTCAATTTTCCAAAAAAAATGAAACTACAAACTTGTTCGAGAAGCACAATAAACCTATCGATCAGATTTCACTCTCATAAACTCTTCTTCAGGTGGTCCGATTTGCCTCCATCACCACGACAACAACAGAACGTTTGCCTTCGACATCCTGAAAGACGTTTCGAGAAACCGAAACCACAAAAGGACACCGCCAACGCCAATAACTCCAAGAACATTCGTTTCGGTATGACCAAGTCAGCTGAGAACGTTCGCCAAGAGGACGCCACTGGTCCGCAGACAAACGGAAAAGTCGTCACTGGAGAGAAAACGTCCACGGCCGTGCCACCCGAAGATGTCACAATCAAGCTACGAAGGCGCCACACAAAGCGATGACGGTATCACGTTACGATTTCGACGCTACAAACTCACATCCACACCGGAAACTACCGTATAACCGGTGGTGAGAGCTGCACACACACAACACGGGACCGGGTCAGTGATATAACATATGGAGCTGCCAATAAATTTCTATCACTTATCAGATTGCTTGTCTACAGCTTTATATCCATGGTACACATGAATCACAAATTCACAGTTTTTTTTTCACAGAAAACTTACTGTATCGTATGCCTGTCATACCCATTACCGTATATACCTTCTCAACATCAGAAAGCTCTTAGTAAGCCCCTGTCAGCTATAAGAATAAAGAAATAGAGACTAGGTGACAAAGAGTATGTGTGCAGGCCCTACACGTTGGACGGGTACAGCAAAGACGCCGAGTTCATCGACAGACTAGTTGAACTCGGTCCTTCAAATCGCCTCTGATGCTTGCGCCCGTGATCTCTCGCCCAAACGCAGATTTTGTGGTTACTTTGTTCTCATATTTACACATTTACACATCCACACTTTTAACACACTGATTGATTCGTCCTCTCAAAAGTCTCTGCCCCTCCAACGTTCAGCCTTACAATTAGGGCTCCGACCTTGCTGGAATTCGGAGAAAAGCCAGGCGCCCTTCTCTAACCGTCTGTAGGCTCAGACCTTCGTGCGCAGGACTATAAAGTGATTGTAGTAACCGTAACCCCCCAAGACAGCGATTCGCGGGAAGCACTGTTTCGTGCAATCCCGCTGTTTCGTCTGCGCTGGCTGTACGGAAACACGCTAGGGCGCGGTATGCAGTTTACGACCTCTCAGGAGCGGGTTGGTATATCCTCCCGTCGATGGTCAGTGCTTCTTCGAGCCCAGATGGAAAGTGAAGAGCGAGCGTTTTCGTTTTGGACCCACTTATGGACCAGTATAGGTTGGTTGAGAGTGACCGTCTACCATTGAACAGCACGATCTCCTCAGAGGTCGTGGTGCTTTTTTTACTTGAACGCGTCTACCTTTGAAACACACGATCTTCGTCAGAGGTCGTGCTGCTTTTGAACTGTGGTGAAAGGTAGAACGCAGAGACATGGCTGGCTTATGCGCAAGTCCGTATCTCCAGCCTTACCAGCTCGAGCGAGATGAGACGGGGCCTCTTGGGCAGGGCGAGCATGCGGGTCCCTGGAATTTAGTCATAGTGGGATTGATTATGTGCCAGAATATTCATTGATCAGCAACCGTGATTTGAAAAGTGGAAACTCGTGGTGAAATAGCTATCGATTGCCCAGGGTCGAGTCGTTCAGGCAAATATCAATATCTGTTTATATTTACATCAAAACGAGAATATTACAGTAACACAACAACGGCCTAGCTTGGCTAAAAAGAGCGTTATCGATTTCTTCAGGTGACAAAAGCACTTATTTTTCATTTATCATTATCATCATCATATATAATATGGATTTCAACGCTTACAACACCAATTTCGGAAATAGTACTGTATGTACTGCCACCGTAATCTAGACATGGTACAAAAAACACTACCGTACTCTACAAAATATGACGACAGTTGTTGTACATTGTGAAATAACAGCTGCACGGTGAACACTGACCATGTGAATGGTAAAAACAAACCATAAGAGGTTAAGCGCATTAAGGCAATATAGTGGCCATCGATTCAGTAGAGCAAATAATTAAGTAACCGCAAAAATGGATGTCATTCTAGAGATTTATCCATCATTCGTGGAAGGAAACAACCAATAAGGACTCGAAGGCCCGCGCCGAAGTGGACGGTCCCTCGGCTTCTTAATGGCCCACTAATTTCCAATATTCCGATTGATCGTGGATAAACTCTAGGTTACCAGCTCACGTATGAAAAAGGCTAATCAGGAAGGCGGCTTTAGTTGAGTGAGCGAAACAACGAATGACCTGTCGAAAGGCAAATACACAAAAAAGAGTTACTAGTTCTCAGAAAGAAAAAGTTAATGCCCAATAAAATCTAGTTAGAAGCCAGTAAACATTGCACGTAATTGATTAAATACAATTTTAGTCATAACGTAAGTAGCTTTGAAAATACAAATTAAATTCTCTTTTTGAACATTCCTAGGCATTAAACTGTACATACGCTAGAAAAGGCACCGTCAAAATGACGTCATTAAGTAAACTTGTGAAAGTTTTGTGTTTGGAAAGATGCATAAAATTTACAAATACTGAACTGCTACAGTCTATCCTCTAGAGCGTCGCGTTTGCGTTGAGTCTGAGCAAAGCCAAAGCCTGAGAAATCGGATTCTGACGCGTGTCCGAACCAAGTCACTTACTTCTCACATCAGGCAAAACAAAGGCCACGCACGCGTGCATCTGCGTCGCGTTTCCACTCTACAACCACGCTGGATCGATTTTTGGCACGTGAAGGCTTCGGGAGGGTGATAGCCTACAGATTAGTACTAGACACAGAGCTATGAAATAGACTATCACAGTGAGCACTGGAGACCAGTTACTGCTCGTTCTGGATCTGTCGCTCAGCACTGCTGGCGCTATATCGCGCCTTCGGAGTCCCTTCACCGAGCTGTGTAGCAAATATACGCATCTTGTCTCGAAATCCCAAACCGTCTGGCACTCGCGTTTCTTGTCGCTCCTAGGTAAAAAAATAAAAATCCATTTCAAATAACAGTCAATAAAAATAAATAAATAAATAAATAAACACAGTCGAACATACTACTACATTGAAATATTCTTCAGAGGACTATGGCCTATTGGTAATAGTGAATCTGTCACGAGCACGTGTAGAATCACTAATTCATAAGGTCAGTAAGTAGTGGGCCAATGGAAGTTTCATGGTCAGTGAGTAACCATAAGTTCTAATTATCTATCAATTAGATCTTTCATATATTGACTTGGCGATCGATTACTATAGCTTAACTATTTTTAATCACCAACCTGTAACTCATTCAATCGCTGTTGTCGTGGATCCCTATAGATTTCGTTTGTCCCATAAATCTGCAATAAATCCAATGTTCAAAATATTCCAAAAAAAGAAAATATAAGCAAAAATGGAACAAATATAAGAAATTGTAGATCAAAATAGGTAATCAAAATTATACATCCCGAACCCTGAAGGGTGTGAGAGGGGCGGGGGATAGAGGGGGGAGGGAGGGAGGGCCGCCGTTCTTCCTACTCGTACAGTTGCCCCATTTTGTAAACAACGGATTTCATTCTTTAACATACTGAGACCCAATTTTTTCCGCCGCGTGGTGTGGGTGCAGATTGTTGGCGCGCCAGCCGTGATTCAATATCGAACCATAACGTCCCCTAAAGCGGGTTTTAAGTCAAACCTGAACGTACCCGAAACAATGTCAGTTGATTCACACCACGGAACCATATAGAGAAGTGAAGGAAAAATTCAGGAAAATATCCCTAAGCACTTCCCAGTAACACCACATTTGATTGTTAATGCTACTTCCATGCAATAATCTTGATATTTTCACAAGAATGCTGGTTGTGAACAAAATTTTCGCCCCAGGTGGGAACCGAACCCGCACCTCTCGCTTTACCGGGCAAGTGCGCTACAGAGTTAAGCAAGTTTAAAATCTTGAATAGTGTTGCAGCCGGTCCACCATCCTCTACCACTGTATATTGATAGCAGGGATTAATTGCAAAGAAACGATGAATACTGACTCACCGATGGAGAGTCCAGTATTTCTGTCTCTTTCACGGAGACCGTATCCTTGAATTGGACTGTTTTTCGATCGTATGAATCTCCCGGAGAGATGTTTTCTCTAAATAACACCAAATAAACAGGTATCCATAGCAGTAGGTGCTGAAAGAATGAATACCCCCGCATGAAACAAGTCAAAGTCACGATAGCAAGGTTGCCCTGTGGACTTCGGCGTCGCTCAGCGCTTCTCCCATTGGCTGACCATCTGAATCCGTCCTGGGGCCGTATGCAACAAGCCCCGCAGTTGAGGGGTTATGTCCCTCGCGGGGTCGGGCGCTGGGAATGCGGCGAGGGGATATATCCCTCAGACTGCTGGGGGTTTGTTGCATACGGCCCTTGGAGGGTTTTCGCCTTACCGCATTCTTTGACCCTCACCGCTTGAAGATTTTTTCGCTGCCCACTAAGTTTAGCTGAAATATGAAGCGCCGTCAGGCACTAGATATTTCGACGACTCCCCGGAGTGAGTAAGCATCGAAGAATTACGATGTGATCAATGGTCTCATCAGCAATTGAAGGAATCCTTGAAGGCACATTCCACTTTAGAGACATGGGTCTGGTCATGGGTCTGGTATGCCCAACGAATAGCACCTTTCTCATTGGTAGGCCCTTTCTCTGATATGGTAAGGGGAGCGCAACTATGAGAAGTGACAATGGCTTGAAGCGGCTCTCTGGTGAAGCTGGTGTCATATCTCGCGAATCGGAGCGACTGACTCGGCTTCAGTAGTGATGAGGCGACATCTCACTCGCAAAGTCTGACACCGGCCTCACATTCGGCGTGGGCCCTCACACCCACTTAAAACCAACCGTGACCCTGCGCAAGTTTGGAATTTTTTTGCACTCCTTCCCTTCTTTAGGGGTCTTGAAACAACCTCCCACCATCTGCAGCCTCAAAAGGGCTCCCATATGACTCCTTCACTCCGTCCCCCTCCTTACACCGCAAACCGCTGTTTCCGCAGCATAATATTTCACTCTGAGAGCAGATGACACACTTCCATATCGCCCAAATATTCCCCAAAACTGGCGGGAAGTGAGGACTTCAATATGACTGAACAAACGGAAAATGCTTTAATTGCTCCTCTTTTATGCTTTTTTCTAAAAATTTTAAAATATAATTAGCAGAAACCCGTCGAAATGGCCCCATCTCCCTTACCACTACGCCATAACCCCTCACTTCTAGTTATGACAACCACCTCCTGTATAATGGCGACATCCGTCGGCCATTGCTCAACGTATGGTTGACCCTGCACCCACCTTACTCCAACCGTCATGGTACATACTTTCAAGAAGCACGATAGGGTCCATCAAAAGAACATAAGATACATGAAAAAATTATTGATTGAAGATCAGAAGCAAGCATATCCGTGCTTTTTAGTGCAAATACATTCGATTAGTCATCTTTATTGTAAAAAAAAAACTGTAAAAGAACAGCATCGACCTCACCTCATCGCACTACGTCCTGGACTATTATCTACATCATCGATCAGTGTTTCAGTGCGATTTGCATTCGACCTGTTCATATCTCCGTTTGAGTTCTGCACCGCAAAGGTCGTTGGCGCCACAACGGCCGCCGTCCTTTGCTCAGCTCGTCGTGACTGCTCCGAAGCAACGTTCAGCAGCTCTCTGAACACTCGATAGATGATCTTTTTCAGAAAAAGACGTTTTTTCTTGATCAACAAATGCAAGGTAGATGCAAAATCGCAAATCCGTCTCAGAGGTAGTTCTTAACGACACTAGTATCGCAGGTACGCTGCATTGTGGTGACAATGCATTAAAAACCGTGAAAATACATCTCCTTTTTTTGAAAAACGGGACTAATCTTTAAAGGCAAGATTCGGGATAAAATAGGTGTGGAAAAGCGTTCAGTTATGAAGCTAGAGGTGGGAGGTGGTCTGTAAAAGAGAAGGAAAGCAAACGAAACCACCGATTACGCCCCGTACAGAGACCTCCCCTATTTCAGCCGCATTCCACCTTGGGATAGAGAAGGGGCGCGTTGGACGAGTTTCACGAACCTAACTCTAGTTGCTCCAGTGCCAATAACATTGGGTCGCTTTGGGACCGCTGAGTATAGGCCTTCCAAACAATGGGACCATCTCTACGCCCGTCATCTCTGACGGGTCATTCTTCCCCCCCCCCCTCTTTCCTCCATAGGAACTGGAAGTGATCAAACTTTATTATATCTAACACACCCACATATTCAAAAAACTTCCCGAATGCATCCAGTTTTCCAGAACAGGCCAAAAATCTCCAGAAAAAATCTCCCAATCGATCAACCAAGAACTCACCTATATCGTCGAGTCTCCTCCTCGGTCATATTGATACCTTTCGCATCTAATCGATCCAATTCTTCATTTACAGCATCATGAGACTGAAATTGATCAGGAAATTGAACAAAGCCGAACATTACCTCCCTTACTCTTTCGATTTAAAGATCTTTACGCTACTGAATTTATCAACACCGAGAATTCAAGAGCGATGCCACAAACAGATGATCGATAAGGGCAAGTCAATGAAAGCCAATAAAAAAAACTACCATAAGTGCCGTGTTGGTCCTCTCCAGATTGCGCAGCTCTCGTTCGAATCCCGAATGACGAGGAGGGGCCAGTACAACTCTGGCTTCGTGTGCTCCACCAACTTGAAGGGCCTGTATAAAAATTATTCTTCCATATGTGCCGTGTTTCACTAATTTCCACCTCTTACATGAATAAAGCCTTACAAGTGAAGAGAAAGGAGATGTAAATAATCATTAAGAAACCCCTCTACCTACCTGAGTGAACGCTGTCGGTGCCATTACTCCAAAAGTGGTCGTCGATCGTGGTGTTCTTCGCGATGTCTCAAATTCACCTCATCCTTCGGCATCGCCAGTTCAATCGGTCGTACAACAACAGCTTCCTGCTTGTGTGGTCGTACTACGGGCGGATTGCTGTACATTGGTGGTTTTCCGTAGGCAGCATTGCCATTCGGTAAAGACGGCGACGTGGGGTCTGTCGGGATGTACTCTCACGGTCGCGAGAAAGGCGTTTTACCGCGAAAGCTGCTGGTAGTTGGAATTGGGGTAGCTGGGACGATTGAGGGGAGACGGCAGAGAGGCTGAATAGCTGGCAGCTGAGTGTTGTGCAGAGGGCGACGTCGGCGGTACTCGATGCTCTTCACGAGGTGAAGAATGCGCTGCTGGTGGTGATGGATGGCATGCTCTAAAAACCATTGACCCTCAGTTAAAAATGATAGGTCCACTTTCACTATTTTGCACCACCCTACTAACCTGAGGACATTTGGCAGAGGGAAACAGCCAATATTAAAATCTACCACAAGCATTGGGGATTGTACAAGAAAAATGACAGTTACTGAGGAATTTGTAAGGCAGTCATCAGACTTTGCGACTTTCGTGCGTTTCGCGCGCCGCAACAGACTTTGCGACTTTCGTGCGATTCGCGCGCCGCAACAGACTTTGCGACTTTCGTGCGATTCGCGCGCCGCAACGAAAATTAGTGCCAGTCGGACAGTCGGCTCGGAACATTCAAAAACTCCAATAGGCGCTGCTGCGCAAGCGGTACTTGCGGTTCGCGCGACAGCCATTTGCAAAGCCTGACCCTGCCTGAGAACAAACTGAATTAGTCAAAGGCGAAACAAGTTGCTCAAAATTTTCCCATAACTATCCAGAACACAAAAGCCGGAATTCCCCTCATCCCTACTCTGAGCCAAACTCTCACCATTCTGTATTGATCCAAGTTGTCTCGAGAGCCTGCACTGACATAGCCTTGCTGCTGAAGCGGGTTTGGCGACCTTGAAACAAACACTTTAAATACTGAATGAACCACGGAGTTGTGACAAAATTCCATGGAATCGACCAATACCACAAATTTTCAAGGCTCAAACAGGGAGTAATCCCGTTTGTTATTAAGAAGATGCTCTCAAAGCCGGAAGCCTCTCTTAAAGGCAGTGGTCACGATGGCTGGAAAGGTAAGTGCGAAATGACGTCGTTTAACGCCATTGGTGGACTAGACAACTCAGCACGCTGCTGAGGGTGGTTAGGACCGCCTCTACGCCTTTCCACCAATCATGTTCAATGACGTCATCAAAATCGCAACTCCCTCCAGCCATCGTGATCACTGCCTTTGAATCAACTTATGCAAAGTTGCACTCTTTCTACTGTTCCGCTAGTCCCTGTGTCTCTCCCTTTTGGTCGTTATTCCCTTGTCTAGGAGTTTATTAGCTACTACTACTACTTCTTTGCCGAAAACTTGTACAATCTCAAAATCAATTGCAGAAGAGGCAGGTCTCATTCAATGTGCTCTGGCGGTTTTTTTGCTTTCTTTATTACTAGCAAGCCGCTATGCTTCCAAGTACGAAATAAAACTTATAGTATGATTACACACACACCACATATATTATGGATGGCAATTATATGACTAATGACTTTTTTCCCTGATCGTACATTATTCTACGTTTTCACCCTTTCTCCTCACTAAATATCACGCAAGAATTGAGTAAACATGATTGATCTGTGTAAACATTGAGGAAAACCTTGCCAGGGTTATATTGAGACCGTAAAAAATCGATAGAGCAATAGCATACCTTGGAGCAGCGAAAAGGTTCGTAGCACTTGGCGGGCGATACAGTGACACTGGCGAATGAGCTCCACGTCGTAGCGCGGAAGGTGATGAGGCTGACGGTCGACCTAAATTTGTCCACTGTAACAAGGAAATATGTAAAATCATACAAAAAGCGCTTTTCAATACGATTTAAAACAATCTCTAATAAAAAGCACAATTGTGTATGGTCACGATCTTTTTCTAAAAATACGGAGAGTTGAGTCACGTGACTCTGGCATTTCCGCCACCTATAAGAGTTCGGCTAATCTCACGCCGCAGCGCAACCGCACGCGACTATGCCAGACAATGTCATCAATTTTGAACTCCGTTAATAGACCATGAAAAAAGAAACCATGAAAAAAGGAAACCATGAAGAAAAAGAAACCTACTAATAAATCAGTAAAGCGAACATCAACACAAAATTTATCAGTCAAAGTTACTCACCTGGCTGAATAACCGTTGGCCTATTGGAGTGTCGATAATGTGAGGGAAGTCGATCGAACCCACTGACACCAGTGGTTGACCCAGCTACCGAGCGTTGTGAGTACGAGGCGTTCGGCTGAAAAAAAACCACTTTCAAAATTTATTTCAGACCAGAATGCAAAAAAGAACAAATGTGATCCCACCAGGATGTTTAATCTCCCAGCCCAACCTCCAGCTCACTTCCAACCCCGTTCATTCGAATTTTACCATTACTACAATCCCCATTTTCAAGAAAAAATTATTAAACATCTTTAATCGCTCACATCGCTCTGGTAAAGGTCGGACGCCGATACCGATCTGAAGTGTCGATTTGGCTCCACACCAACCACCGGTGCACCAGACGATACCGGTGCAAAGGCCGACGTTCGAACACCTGGCGCTGAAAATTGCCCTGTCTCATAGTGTTTCGGAATTATTTTAAGAGCCTTGAAGAACTTCTGAATGAGTACCTGGCTGATATCTTTGATAACTACTATTAGTCGTCTGCACTGATTGTTGGCTACCGTATCCCGGTAACATGGCATAGTTCGAATGGCTATTACTGAAATTCGAGGCCTGGGATCCATGATGGAGTTGTTGTTGTTGTTGTGACTGCGATGGAGCATATTGATTCTGGTGCGAGTGCGGCACAGACCCGGGTGGCAACTGAAATTCAAGACAATTCTTCCAGAAACCTCACACTTTTCATCCTGCCTGCCAATAAACCCTCAGTTTGTCCACTACCCACCGTTGTCGTGGTCGGTTGACACAGCCAGGTGGACAACCCATTACGAAGTGCAGCTCCTTTACGAACATCAAATCGTACTTCGGTGCCGGCACGGGCCATAAAATCAGCGGCCCTAAATTCATCTCATTTTAAAAGGGCATAAAATGATCGGCAATTAGAGGTATTCAGTGTCTTACACCCAGTACTTGCTGGAGGTCACACTTCGAGTACCGGAGTAAAACAAGGTTAGTTCGTCTAGAGATGGATTACGGTACCAATCACCACTTCATATTCAAACCGAATTTCATATCAAAAATCGGAAAACTTACTCTTCTTGCGATATTCCCAGAAGTGATTGACCGTTGACTGACAGTAACTGATCACCAGCTGCCAGACGGCCGTCCTTCAATGTGAATATTATCAGTATTGATCAATTCATAGTTGAGTAGCGATAAAGAGGATAATATTCTTGGAACAAAAAACTTATAAATCATCCAGAGAAATAAATACAGAAGCACTTAAAAAATGAAATAAGGAAAAAGTATATACCCTTCCATCGTATATGACAACGAAGCAATTAAATAAAAAATTCAGCTTGATATTTATGAACCAGTTATTACTGAATTCTCGAAAAAAAAGTTCTTGAAATCGGATATTCAAATTTCCGGGCTTTAAAATCAGAAGTGAAAAATATCTAGAGATGAAAAAAATTATAGGAGCACTCACCGCTGCTGCAGGACTTCCTGCGACGACTTTCTTCACATAGATCCCCACTTGTCTGTCGCCAACACCCTAAAACATGTCATTTAGACAGTGAATCATTTTTGAGACCCATTAATGAGATCAACTTCTATTAGGCTCGATTTTTTATTGAGTAAAAATTTTTATAACGGAAAAAAAACTGCACCCCGACCCCCCTCCATATACGCACTAGAAAATTACATGACCACGACCACAATGCACTTACAACG